TTGCCAGCCCGCTCAGAGATGTGTATAAGAGACAGCATCAAATGGAACAACTTTAGGGGGCGTCGTGAAAAAAATTTAAAAGTCAAAAATAAGGTCCACTCTAATATATACATATATATGTATACTGGATGTCTTGTACTCTGGTCAGCGTTTGTGGGGAGGTAATGTGGACCAAACTGAACAAAAAAGTCCTCTACCATTTTGCGATCTTCGCAATAGTTATCGAGATACTGATCATTAAAAAAAAAATTTACGCCAAGTATATGTATACAAGTGTATCGCACATTAGATAAATGATGCGCGCGGAACGCGCGCTTTGTTTTGTTCTAGTTATAATCAAAAAATGTATGTTTTCTGAATACTTGTTGATGAGGAAAAGGAAAAATATGTTTTAATGTGAAAGTTAACAAAAAAATCTCATATACAAAAGAAATAAATTATATTTAAATGGTGACAAATATACTTTATAAATTGTTTACTTAAATTTAAAGTGAATAAAAAATATTATTTTAATAATTATCTTAAAATTGAATAGTTGACTAGCGAAAACAAAAGTATAATTTATTATATTAATGTTATTAATGTTATTAGAATTATTTATTATATAATCCTTTTATATTATGCAATTATATATTTAAAGGAACTGTCTGAACTTTTAAAAACATTGTTGGCATACCAATTAAACAGTGCACATCTTTCGCGAACACTAAACAAATCGAGGTCTCGCATTTTATGCGCATTTATATGCAGTTTTACGTTTTAATTTATAACGGCATAATGTGCATGTTACAAAAATTATAATGCCATAAAAAGCCATTTTTAGTCTTTTCTAGCCTCAAAAATATACAACATACCAGTAAATATACGAATTAATATATGTAAATAAGACGTAGATTAAGAAATACATACATTTTCAATACTGCGAAAAAGTAACGTAAACCATAACACCGGTCTGTGAAACCGCTAATAATCAGTCAATTTAATAATAATAAATTATTAATAATAATCAAACAATTAAATGATAAAATAATCGATTAAATGGTATTAAATCAACAAAATTATAATTAAATTATAATTAAATGATAACTATATTAAGCGTTAACAATAGATATTTTTAACTCCATGGGCCGCCGCCACGTTGGCAGTGCCGTCATTTTGGACACGATACTGCCATTTTGATCAAAGATTCACGTGTTCCAGAAGGTTCTTTCTCTCTGCCACGTGTTATCTTTCCTCCCTCCCACACGTTTCCGGAAGATTCTCTCTCCCACGCATAATTGAAAGGTTTGCGTTCTTTTTCTCCCCCACCTGTTATCTTTTTCTAATAGAATGCGATAACTATTATGTAAAGCAGAATTTTAATACAAAGTTTGTCAAATATGATAACTATATTAATTAAGAAAGAAAATAAAAAAGAAAGATATTAAGGAGAAATATTAATTGCTACATCTATTATTATTACATATATAAGAAACAATGCTACGCAATTTTCGTTAAAGCATTGACGTTTTATAAAAATTAAATTTTTAAGGCATATATTTTATAAGTATTAATGGGGGAGCCTGGTTTAGCACGCTGAAAAATTAGATGATTTTTTGGAATATTTTTTAGAAAACTATACAATCAATTTTTTTTATAGGGCAGTTTCTTATACTATTGAACTAATAAGAAAATATTATTTTGCCAGAAAAAAATATTTATTAAGCAAGTAATAATAACTTTTTATTCGGCACGTCGGCGGTGATAGTGTTTGGCGGCAAGCAATGTAACGTCACTAATTGTATTTGTCTGAAATAAAAAATCTAAAAAGATTATTATTTATTAAGAGTTTATGATTTTACGCATTAAGTTAAGATTTTACGCATTAACTGAGTCTATTTTTAAAAAAAATAATGCAAAATCGAAAAATCGCGACACTTGGAAAAAGAAGATAGCGATTTTGACAAAAAATTGTTCGTGTTTATTATGCAAATAAAAATTATTTAATTAGATAATATTATTATAAACAGTGGTCAAGTTATTAGGGAAATATTTGCACAGATGTGTTCAAAGACCCAAGTCAATCGGATGAATAGTTTTTGAGTTATCTTGCACGCCGTCAAACACCATTACTGTCGAATAAATGTTATTATTACTTGCATAATAAATACTTTTTTCTGGCAAAAAAATATTTTTTTATTAGTTCAATAAAATAAGAAATTATCCTACAAAGTTCAAAAGGATTGTTTGAAGTTTCCTAAAAAAAAATTCCCAAAAAACATCTAATTTTTCAACGTGCTAAACCAGACTCCCCCATTAATACTTGTAAAATATATGTCTTAAAAATTTAATTTTATTAAAACGTCAATGCTTTGACAAAAATTACATAGCATTGTTTCTTATATGTATATGTAATAATAATAGATGTAACAAAAAAGATGTAATATTTCTCCTTAATATCTTTCTTTCTTATTTTCTTTTATAATTAATAGTTATCACATTTGACAAGCTTTGTATTAAAATTCTGCTTTACATAATAATAATTATAATAGTTATATATATAATAGTTATAT